AATAAATATAAATATTACCTTTAAATCTTAAATTTTAAAAAATAAATAAACAATAATTATTTTAATATATAGAAAGTACAAAACACTTCAAATCGCACGACTTTTTCAATTTGGAAAATTAGAATCTTTTTTGGTTCCTCTTCCTTAATCCGTAAAAGACATCTTCCGCAATCCGTAAAACACATCTTCCGCAATCCGTAAAACACGTTTTGCGGCTGCGACACGGTAACGAGTCAGGGCTGTCTTCTTGTAAGTAATTAGAGAGAACTCTTTGAGTGATTATTAAGATGTTACAGTTTGATACATGTGGATCTATTGTAAAATATTATTTTAAAAATTAGTATAAGTTAGTTTTGATTTAAAAAATTAGAATTTTAATTTTTAAATAATATTATTTTATAATTAAATTTTAATTTAAAATTTTTTAAAATACCTTATTAAATATTAATACTTACATAATCCCATTTAGAAATACATTCAGTGCGTTTGGAAATAAATCTAGGTATCTCTATAATGTATTAAAACAGATTTTAATTTTTAAATTTTTAAATTTTTTTGTAATATCTGGATTTTTAATTAAATTTTAATTAAATAAAATAATATTAAAATTCTAATTTTTTTGGAATATATCTACTATTCTCTTTATTTTATATATAATTTTTTTCTTATGATGTATGTAAATGAATGAATCCTTTGATTATTACAAAACTAATTGTTGTTCCTCCAAAATTCTGTTTTGTCTTTGCATTATTTCATTAATATGCAGCAATCGCAAAGTAATAAAAATTAATAATTAGTGAATTTATTGAAGAAATATCAAAATAACCATAAAAAGTTTAGTTACTTTAAGGTTATTCATGACTTTACAAAAAGTAAATTTATCAGTGTAATAAAAATATATATAGTATGTTGTCTCAAAAATGCTACAATTTTATGATAATATTTTATAAATCAATATTATTTATAAAATCATCTAGCTCATAATACCCTTCTTTTGTCTCAGAATATTCAAAAAAATACAATAGGTAAAAAAGTAGAAGAATATGGAAGAACATGTTTTATTTATAAGACCCTTGCTCTTATAACTCTCATTTATATTTTAAAAATTTATCTAATTTATACTCTTAAGGCATGGGTTAAAAGAGTCTTAGACATATTTTTCATGCATTAATTAACATAGAAAAGTAAAAAGGTTAGCAGTAATTTTAGCATCAATGATGCATGAATATTTTTTTATTGGATAATTGGTACAATTAAGATGAACTTTTAGTTTTATTATGTATATTAATGATAAAAAGATACAATAAATGCATCGTTAGAAAAACTAATATTTTAATCAAAGAGTAATGAATACACATGTTATCATAAATTTATATTGATAAAAAAAATTGACTTTTAATTTATCAATTTTTTAATTAAATTCATTTACTTAACACTAATATTAAAATTAATACTAGCAATTATTTTTTTATATACATTTATAACAAAAAGATGCTCTTAATTTGCTACTAAGAACACAAGTTAGCAAATCTCTTATAGGAATAAATTGAATAATTATTAGTCGATAACATACCCTTAACTTGAACAATTAACCCGTAACAGCTAAATCAAATACTCAAGGAATAAAAACTTTAATTTATAAAATATAATATTTTATATTTTATTAAAATACTAAAAGTCACGCACTTAGGCCTTCGATCCAATGACATCAAGTCACGTTTAAAATGTATCCCCTTCTCTCGGATAACGATTTGAATCCAATCCTTTGCAAATTTGTTCAAAAAAAAAAATACTAAAAGTTACAACACTAACAAATACAGTAATTGTTCACAAGATTTGCCCCAACTAGTAAGGTTTGAACTCTTCAAAGTACTTATTTTTCGGTTTAAGGATATATTTGGGATTATATTTTTCAACATTTTTTAACACATTACATTATAGAAAATATTAATTTTATTAAATAATTATATTCAGTTAAATTAATATTTTGTACATTTTAATAATTATACAAATATTTAATCCTTTTTCAAAATAATTATAAAAAATTAACATATTCTTTCCAATAACATAATACAAGAAACATTGCATTTATAGCGCTTTTTACACGCAGTTGTATACTATTAAAAATATTAATATTTTAAAAATAAATTAATTTTAGTTAACATTTTGTATATTTTAGTAATTAAGTTTATAGATGTAAAACATTTAAAAATAAAGGAAAGGCGGGTATGAACTTGCATCACAAAAAATTAGATAAAAAAAATCTTAAAACTATATCATTTTAATAAAATTTTATTGAAAAATACTAAAATTTCTTAATTTTTAAGGTAATGATGAGGTTGTTTTAGTATTTTTCTTATGGTACTTTATTAAAACAACATAATTTTAGTATTTTTTACTTAATTTTTTATAATATATATTTATCCTCATTAATCATTAATCTTTAAAAATAATTATTAAACATTAACCTAATTTTTAGTAATAATAAATTATAGAGATATCAGTACTCTCAATACTACACAACAATGACAATCTAACCCCACGTGTATGGGTATTTTCATCTACCTACACTCCTTATTTCATTTTTGCATGTTACCCAACCAGCTCAAAGTTAGGTTTAGAAAAAGCGAAAGTACTTTCAAACAATAAAAGAGTGTTTGGCTGAGCTTCTAAGTAAATGTTGCTTAAAAGTACTATTTTCTCTTTAAACTTCGAAAATTTTTTAAAGAAATGTGTTACTTTTAAAATTTTAAAGTGTTTATAACTAAGTTTTATTGAAGTTACTAGCAATTAATCTGAAATATTTTTGAGAAAAAATGTCATTCTTTTGGGAGAGGAGCGGGGGCTCGCCCTCTTTCAAAATTTAAAAAAAAAAAAAAAAAAAAAGGTTGTTCTTAACATTATAATTAAATTCATTTTAATCCTCTAACTTTCCTTTATAACTTCATCTTTATATTCTTTATTTCATGTAATTTTAGTCATTTTCTAGTTTCTTATTCATTATATTTTACTTTCATGACTATGACAACGGCAGGAAAAATGCAGATGATCACTTGAAAATAAAGAAAAGTGAATATTAATTAAACGATAATATTTAAATTGTTAACTTGATTGATTTTTAAGCAATTGTTTTTTGTTTTTTTGGTACATGATTTTTAAGCAATTGTTACATGAATTATACTTTGAATTATTAATTTAGAATTATTTAATTTTTACTTAATCTTGAAAAACTTTAGTTTGAACTTGATTAATTTCCTTTTTAACTTAGAAATCTTTAATTTATAGTTAATTTATTTATTTTTATTTAATTAATATTTATTTCAAGCTATTTATGTAATTCATATTTATATAAGTCAATTAGACATACCATAAAAATCAATTGAATCATTTTCTTTTATTTTGATTTATACAATATAAAATAATTCTCTTGCATCTCTTTAGATACTCTACTCACCTGATTATAGTTCAAATATAAAATCTTTTAGTCTACTTAAAAGAGATATTATTACCACTAGACCATCATTGAAATCAAAAAAATCAATTACAAAAGCATAAAGATAAAAAATAAAAATATTCTAATATTTTAAAAAATGTCAAAATGGATTATTACCAAATCGGTTATTGGCACACACAAAATCATCAATTAGAAAAGTACTCAATTAAGATATTTTGAGATTAAAAAATACAAAATGTCTAATCCGATCACATATTGGATGGCCCTAACATATAATGTCTCACCCATTTATAATTAAACATTTTAACATTTTTAAAATTAAGATGTCTTTGAGGTTTTACATCTTCAAAAAAAAATTTTTAGAAATTTATGAGGTAGAATTTTCCGTTATAATTCTAGAATTTAGGATAGTATATCTTTCCCTTCGAATCTTATGCGAAATTGTAATTTTATTTGCAGCTTGAACATCTAAAACAATGCTATCTATTTTACCGTTAAAAGCATGTATAATGAAAAATAATAAAAAAAATTATTTTGATATCTCATCATCACAATTAATATTATTTATATAAAATTATAATTAATATAAATATGGGAGAAATTTAAAGGAGGATTCCTTCTTATCAAATATACAAAAAAGAAAAAAAAAATTAATGCTATATTTTTTTACAAAAAAAATATAAACTATACTGAAATTTATAAAATGATTCAACAAATAAAATTCTTACACCAGTATAATTGTTTTTTTTTTTTTTTTGGTACACACACCTGAATAAGTGTTTAAACGAACATTGATTATAAAATGATTC